GTACAACCTAAATAATTATAATAAGGTGAGGGAGAAATCTTCTATTTATGTAGTGGGTTTAATGATATCAGGATATCCTGCAGTGTTTTATAGTTGAATGGACCTCTCAAATGTTAATGTTGATCTCTCTCTCTCTCTGTCTGTCTCTACACCTTCTCTGTGGATGTAACACTGTAGTCTGCACTCTGTTCTGCTACCTGATGCACTTTGTATGATACGATTTGCCTGCAGAGCACTCTAAACAACACTAATGCTGTATCTTATACATATTACAACAATAAATCAAATCAAATCAAGAACTGTGGCAGCGAAGGTGTGTACAACAAGATCCTGCTAACAATTATATGATAATGACCAGAGAATCTGCTTTCTTCAAAGTGGTGGAGATTGAGGGATAAATATTGGCCAGGACAGCAAAGAGAATTGCTCTGCTCTTCGGGGCCATGGAGCATTTATATTCACCTAAGGGCATTGAGGGAGGCTTATCTGAAAGATGGATTATGTCATAAAGCACAAGAATTTTCATTTAGTTATTGTTCCAATGTTTTGTGTTTAATTTATTTCACTATATACATTATTTTCACTTGTTTATTGGGTGACTCAACTATGGGATGGAAATGGTAACTAATTGGTTTCATGGGTTTGATGTTTAAATTGGTTGCACTATTATGGAAATTAAGATAGTAAGAACCTGATGTGGAATGGGAAGATGGCTTTACATCTAGGTTGTTAGGAGGTCTCTTGGCACTATGGGTAGAGCCTCTATCTTAGCCAGAAGCTGAAGCTGAGTGGCTGAGTTTGCTGAGTAATAGGAAGCAGAGCAAAGGTTAATGTGTACCTTTCAGGTCACAGAAAGGTTTTGTAGTGCAGTTCATCAGGGGTCAGTTTTGGAACTCTTGCTTTTCCTGATGTATATAAATAATCCAGGACTTGGTGCACAGGCGACAATTTCAAAGTTTGGGGATGACACAAAACTTGGAAAAACTGTAAACTCTTGAGAACGACAGTGTAGAAGTACAAAAAGGCATTCACAAATTGATGCAGTGGGCAGGGAAGTGGCAGGTGAAGTTCAATGTGGAGGTATACAATTTTGTACAAAGAACATGGAGATAAAGTATAACATAAAGGTTACTATTCTAAATGGTGTGCAGGTGCAAAAAAACCTAGTTGTAAACAATATAAAAGTTGTTGTAGATATGACAGGTAGAGAGAGCTGTTAAAAAAACATACAATATACTTGGCTTCATTAACAGGGGCAACAACGGGGATGTATGCTGAACTGACATTCAACCTCAGCTGGAGTAATTACACACAATGCTGCAAGCCATACTTTAGAAAGCATGCAAACTCATTGGAGGGAGTGCAGAACAGGCTTACAAAAATGGCCCAAAGGATAAGACACTTCAGTTATAAGGATGCATTGGAAAGGTTGAGACTGTTTCCTTTGATGAGGAGAAGGATTAGGGAAATTTGCTAACATTTTCAAAATCATTAGTGGTCTGGACAGAGTAGCTAGGGGGAAACTGTGTCTGCTCATAAAAGGATCAAGAACCAGAATGTATAGATTAAAAGTGATTTGAAGTGTAGCAAATGTGATATGAAAGAAAACATTTTCACAGTGAGTGGTCTGGGTTTAGAATGCACTGCTTGGAAGTGTGGTGGGGCAGGTTCAATTGACGCATTTGTGAGTGCATTAGATTATTATTTTAATAGGAAAAAATGTGCAAGGTGATGGGGAAAAGGCAGGAGTATGGCACTGTCAGAATACTCGGAGAGCTGGTACAGATTCAATAAGCTGAATGGCATCCTTCTACACCATAGCAATTCCATGATTCTAGGTTCAAATCCTGTCCAAGGACTCGTTTGCCAAGTAGTTGCGCTCATAATACAACCAAACAGGTCCTTCCAACATATGCAAATGGCAGATGATGAGAAGACATTCTTTGTCAGCCATGTAATGGAAAGAAAAAGTCAATGTTCATAGATCTGGATGACAACATGTATGTAAACTGCACATTACCGCAGCAAATCAGACATCTTAGAGGACTACCGTGGATCAGATTGGTTCCAACAGCACTAGGTTAGATCCCTGTTCCGGCTGGGGTAGATTTGGGACCTCCTCATAGTCCTATCTCTTGTGGAGGTTGTGTTGCAGTAGCTCAGATCTGCCTTTGAGTAGAGATCTAAAGAAGTGGATTATTGGAGAATGGGCTGTTATTTTTCACCGAGAGCTTTTGTATGTTTTAGGTGAAGATTGCACTAATATTTTAAATAGACGAAACTACAGGACTTGGTAGTGGGATTTTTTTGAATTCTTCTTGGAGATTTTCAACACTGACATGATGGGTTAATTGCATTGCCTTGTATGATGAATCTTTTATATGAAGCCATTTGGGTATGTCAGGGTGTTCATTTGCTGAATCAGTTTTCAACACTCAACTGATGCTGATGGACATACTTGTATTTACTATTTCCATGGATGGATGGTGAAGGATTGAATGGAGACAAGCACAGGCAGAATTGCAGCTCTCAAACTGACTGCCAAATGCTCAATTACAAGTGACTTGGACCATTGCAGCAAGTCTATCCAATATGAAATTAACAAGAGCAAAATTCTGGAAGCTGAAATGAAAAAGAAAATGCTGGATATATTCAGCAGATTTGTCAGCAATCTGAAGGAAACAGAATAACTTCAAAAGGTCAACAATTTGACATGTTACTTGTCCACAGATGTTTCCAGATGTGCTGAGTATTTCAGCATTTTCTGCTTTTATTTTGGACATTATCAATCAAGGTCCACCATGAGCAGAAATTAAAACTTGGAAAATCAGACGTGGTAACCCTGACTGTCTAACCATTCTGAAATTGTGCTGAGACTCTGACATTTAATATTTGGATTCTGAAGTGATTATACTTCAGTTTTACTCATCTTGGAATGTTTTAGGAATAACAATAAAGGCTGTATCATAGAGTCATAGAGTGTGGAAACAGATCCTTTGGTCCAACTGGTCCATGCCAACCAGATAGCCTAAACTGATAAGAGTCATAGAGATGTATAGCTTAGAAGTAGACACATCCATCCAACTTGTCCATGCCGACCAGATATTTTACTTTAATCTAGTCCCGTTTGCTAGCATTTGGCCCATATCCTTCTAAGCCCTTACTATTCATGTACCCATCCAGATGCCTCTTAAATGTTGTAATTGTATCCGTCTCCACCACTTCCTCTGGCAGCTCGTTCCACACATGCACCAACCTCTGTATGGAGAAGTTGCCCCTTACGTCCCTTTTAAATCTTTCCCCCTTCACCTTAAAACTATGCCTTCTAATTTTGGACTCCCCTGCCCTGGGAAAAAGATCTTGGCTATTCACCCTATCCATGTCCCTTATGTGCCCCAGCTTATTCAGCATCTCACTATAGCTCAAACCCTCCAGTCCCGGAAATATCCTTGTAAATCTTTTCTGAACCCTTTCAAGTTTAACAACATCTTTCCTCTGGCAGAGACACCAAAGTGTGTTGTGTTTGTTACCATTTTGACTATTAGTATACAATAGAGGGGTTTACCCTTGGGACAGTCCCTCACAAATGTCTTTGAGGCCCTGCTGGAAGAGGAAATGCTGAAACTTGTCAGATGGGTTAGAGTTATTTGGCAGAAGTCCTTGTCAGAATTTTCAAACAAGCACTAATACTTAGCTAGGATGATGTTGAGAAGTATCTCCAGGAGAGATAATTCCTGCATGCTAGGAGTCTCGGGACCTTTACATGTTGCCTTCGAGGCAGCTGAGGTGGGAAAGAGAAATTTGTCCACCTGCTTCTTGAATGGGTCTTTGTAACTAAGGTATGGAAGGAGATGCAATAGATTCCAATGAGATTCATTCTGAGCAACTCCTTAATACAGGACTTTTTACTCTATGTGCTCTTCACAGGAATAAGGGCGAGGTAAATACCAACAGGTGCTGGATTGCCATCAACTTGGTGAAAGATGCTCTTTGGTCCGTCCAAAGCTTGCTGCTCTTCCAATGATAAGTGTTGTTAGGAACCAAGCAGTTCATATGGCACACAACCAGGTCCATGTTGAGGATATTCAAAAGCTTGGTACTGCTGCTGCAAAGGTTCAATGGTGAAAGGCCATTGTCTATGGCCTTCCTGCCTACAGTACTCAAGTACTGTATTGAAAGAAACTGATTGGTATTTCATGTTATGTGAAAGGTCAAATTTTGGACAGCTGTGTATTGTACAAATTTTATGAATAAAGTATAATTTTGGACAAAGAGGAGAAAGTGCAGAAGAACTCAGCACAGAAAGGGTAATTCAGAAGTTTGTGCTGAAAACTGATTAATCTAATGCCTCTATTGAGATTAAAGCTCTGAAACCTCTGGTTTCTGTAGGAGGATAAGCTAAATCGGTTGGAAGCACACTCTCATCTAAAAATGTTGCTAGAAAGTGACAACTCAATTTGTTGCTTTTAGTTGGATTGTATTCAAACTCAATGAGAAAGAAAGCACCTCCTAAAGGTTAAAACTATGTCCAGCTCCGCAAGCCAGCAAGAAGGGTTTACATTAGTAGCAAGAGTTCAAAAAGTAACTGGTGGTGGGGGGAGGGGTGGGGGGGTGCGGTTTGGAATTTCAAGGCAGTAACATCTGCTTAAACCTCCAAGCTAGCCGGCCCACTTAATGTCTAAGCAGTGCCTATGATGATAACAAGTAACATTTAGTGGCATTGCCCAATTTATTAGTAGCTGTCTGGGATATATCCTTTATTATTATATGCAAGCGTTAGCTGATATGTTCCAAAGTACTGGACGTGGAAAACCACCATTAAACCAATGGGAAAGTTGACTGCTTACAGTGTGATTGTAAACAAAGGCAAATGTAGACAAACCTCAAAACATCAGGAATATTTAATTACAGAAATGAAGAAGCTCTAACTTAGTCTAATTGGTTGGTTCACTGTAAAAATCAAAATCAATTTTTGAAAAACTTGAAATCACAGAACAGTCTTGAACATATGTTGCTGACTTTTAATTTTTTTTTAAAAGTACACTTCTACCATGTTTGCAAAAGAAATTGTTTTCCTACTTAGAAAGCCGGTTGGTGCAGGATCAGTGTCCGCAGACTTTAAAAAACTTTAACTTGAATTATAAAAGCTGGGGGAACCACACGTTTTCAGTTATCTTCTCTTTAGAACTGTTATTACTAAGATTAAACTACTTTTGTCAGTCGAACGTCGCCTGTAATTTTTAAAGCAGTTAGTTTTTGTAGTTGTTGGATGCGATGCGTAAAATCAAATAGCCGTTGTCCATCCACTTGAACCCGGAACTGCTGGTGTTCACATAGGATTTCCATCTAAAATCAAATAACTTGAAATGTCACAAATTGTACAAATCGTGGAACATGTGAAACAGAAGGTGATCATTTAAAACATCAAACTGGTGCTCTTGATAATTTTGCAATTAGTTCCACTCACCTGCTCTTCCCCTTTAGTCTTACAAATATTTTCTTTCTAAACACCTCATTCTTTTTTAAAGAGTTGCTTCTGAATCTGCTTTTACTACTTTTCAGGTAGTGTATTCCAATCACTATAATTTAACGTGTTTCAGGAAATAGAAAGTCCCCTAGTTTCCCTTCTGGTACTTCTGTGGATGATCTTAAATCTCTAGCACCATTTCCAGTCAGTGAAGTTTCGCTTCAACTATTCAATCAAAACCTTTCATAGTTTTGAACACCTCTGATAAATGTTAACGTTCTGTATTCTAAGGAGAATAATGTCAGCTTCAGTCATCTCTTCAGATATCTGAATGTCCCGATCCTTATAACCCAGTAAATCTCCTCTGTATCCTAAGGCCTTGAAATCCCACTTGAAGACTGAAGCCCAGAACTGGACATGAAACTCCAGTTGAGGTTTAACAAATGACTAATCAAAGTTTTATATAAATTCCTCGCTTTTGATCTCTACAGCCTGTATTCATGAAGTCATGGACTCTGCTCATTTTAAAAACAGCTTTCTGAATTTGCCTTGCCAACTTCAGCTGTTCGTGTAAATGAATCCCTGCCCCCAGGTCACTTTGTTCCTGCACCCCCTTTAAAATTATACGACTTTATTTATGTTGCCACTCTTTCCAAATTGTAATTCAATAGATTCTGGTTTAGAGCCTGAGTGCTCATGAAAAGGTGTCTTGGTTCAATGAACAAAATCAAAGCACTAACATAGTCTGATATCAATAATGTGTGTTATATATGCTATTTGACATCATCACAAAGTGAAACTTTCACTCTTGTTTATCAAAGCATTGGAAACCACAGCTGGATTTACAGTTTTAATTGCATTGCCAGTTATTTACAATGATACAAAGAACAATCGTTCAAATATATGAGTCTCTCTTCATCACTTTCTGAAATTTCTGAAATATCACGATGATATGCAGTTGAAGTATAATGAAGTGGACTGTGGCATTCAATCTGATGTTATTGGCAGGCTCTGAGAATGATTTGCCATTGCAGAGAGCACAAGACAAAGAAGTTACTTATACATGGGTGCAGATTTTTGAGGCACGTCTGGAGACTTGAAGAATCTATAAAATTTTTTGCAATTGATGGAATGGAGGGATACGGACCAAGGGCAGGCAGAGGGGATTAGTTTAATTTGGTGTCATGTTCAGCACAACATCATGGCTGAAGGGTCCATTCCTGGACTCTACAGTTCTATGAACTTTTTTGTTTAGAGGCTGTGGGCATTACTGTCAAGGTCAGCAGTTGATACTTAACCTTACTTAATCTTGAGGGAGTGATGGTGAGGTGCCCTGCCTTGAACTGCTGTACTTCTTCTGGTGTAGGTATACCCACAGTGTTGCGAGGGAGAGAGGTAGGATTTTGACTACATGTTTGGATTTTCTCACATCAACCACATGCTCAACAGTATGTGGTTACCATGAGTTAATTTAGTTAAGGTGAAGACCAAACACATCTCCTGCCCCACCAGAGGACCGAACATTCTGGACCAGTGCTATACAACCATCAAAGATGCCTACTGCTCAATCTCCCACCCACACTTCCAAAAATCCAATCACAGTGCTGTGTTCCTCCACCCACCTTACAAGCAGAAGCTGAAATGGCGGAATCCTTCACAAAAAGAAGTACAGGGCTTGTCTGAGGCAATGGAAGACTGTCTCCGGGAATGCTTAGACTCAGCGGACTGGACCGTGTTCAATTTTTAAGCAGAAAACCTAGATGAGTATGCACCACCATGGACTTCATTAGCAAATGCGTGAAGGACTGTGTACCAAAGAAGTCAATCTGAGTGTTCCCTAACCATAAATCTTGGATGTACCAGGAAATTCACTCCCTAGTGAAGACCAGACGTGCAGCATTCAGGTCAGGTGACCCGGACCAACACAGAAATTCCAGATACATCCTCCGCAAAGCCATCAGGGAGGCCAAGAGTCCCAGACCTACCAAACAGACTCCTGCCATCTAGGCAAAGCCTTAATGACATTATGGGATATAAAATGAAACAGTGTAAGATGCCGGACAATGAAACATCCCTCTCTGATGCATTCAATGTTTTCTATGCTCAGTTTGAAGGGAGATAGAGAGCTTGGTGATGTGGTGTAAAGAAAACAATCTGACTCTCAATAGCGGCAAAACTAAAGTACTTATCACCGACTTCAGAAAGAAAGGAGAACACGCCTCCATCTACATCAACAGAAATGAGGTTGAAAGAGTGAACAGCATCAAGTTCCTCGCAGTGACGATAACTGATGACCTGTCCTGGACTTCCCATGTAAATGCAGCAGTCAGGAATGCACAACAACACCTCTTCTTCCTCAGATGGCTCAGGAAATTTGGCTTGTCCATAAGGTCCCCCGCAAACTTCTACAGATGCAGCATTGAAAGCATACTGTCTGGGTGCATAACAGCCTGGTATGGAAACTGCTCTGCCCAGGATTGTAAGAAACTACAGAAGGTGGTGTGCACAGCCCAGACCATCACAGAAGCCAGCCTTCGACGGACTCTATTTACATGGCTCGCTGCCGCGGGCAGGCGGCCAACATCATTAAAGACCCATCGCACCCTGGTAATGACCTCCTACAACCTCTATCGTCAAGCAGAAGATACAGAAGCCTGAACACATGCACAAGCAGGTTCAAGAACAGCTTCTTTCCAGCCGTTATCAGACCGTTGAATGGACGCTAGCCTCAAATAATGTAACCTGCAATGTAACCTGTATATTCACCTATAATCCAAGCATCTCAAGCTTCTATAGTTAGAATGTTATTTATACTTAAGTTTATACTTATACTTAAGTAACCAATAGTACACTATTGTGATTGATCTATGTCAGCCTCACTTATCCTTTACTTTCACATGTACTTTATAGAGTCCTACAGTACAGAAGGGGGACACTTAATCCATTGTGCCTGTCCTGACTGTTTGAAGGAGTTATCCAATTAATCCCACACCCCTGCTCTTTCCACAAACAGACTTTCAACTCCATTAGTCTGGAATTCAGGTGGCAGAGTTTAAGCGATAGTGTCTAATCTATAACATTAATGAATAGCCGGCAAAGATAGAATTAACAATCCAGTGTGGCCATTTTGTTCATGGAAGTGATGCTCGTTGTGACCTTGCTGCTATTCTGATCCATTAAATCCGCACAATCAAGGGATCAGGTCTGAATGAGGCATTAACTTGTTGAAAATCCCAAAACACAGGGATCATTGCAGTTGCGTTTTTTTAAAAAACAGATTATTCACTGTTTTTTGGTAGAAACGAACAGTTGGAGTTCTTGTGTTGTTATATTTATGCATTGTCTAGATACAATCAAGATATTATAAAAAAAAAGTGTTTAATGAGCTCACTAGCTTGATTTTATAGCTATCTGTATTCACTTTTAAACAAATTGCTTTTTTTTGACACTTCCTTCGGAAACTACACAAAGATGGCACAATCTTTACATAATTTGACATCACACTTACCTTGAAGTGCTGCATTGGTGTGAAAGGGAAATACGGTATGTTTTTCTCTTCTTTCCCCCATTTGCCTGAAACTTTGGCATTCCGTATAACTGAGCGATCCCGGAAGTTAATAGTCACTTCAAGGCCCACGTCTGTATCTGGTTCTGAAGGGTTGCCGATGAGACTTAATACAAAGCTGTTAGATAATCACAAGTGCAAACATTAACTGCATGTGATCAGGAATAAAAAAGTCACATTTGTAAATTTTATAAGAGATAACAAGGTGTAGAGCTGGATGACAATTTTATCTTGTTTTATGGCTCACTTTCTGCTTGTACTCCTGATGTGAGCAGCAAGTTATGTTAGATTATTAACTAAAATAGCATCAATTCTCAGGTTACTTCACCTAAGCAACCATTATATATGCAATTCTTGACAAGGACGTCAGCAGGTATTCAGCTGCAATATATTTCAACCAAAACCAATCTAGATCGCACATGCCATGTGTACTTTTGACTGGTCTTGGTGATGGTGAAAATCCTGACAAAATGTTTCTTTCCATTTCATGCCAATTATCGCTCGTTGGTACTCTTTAGCATCTAAGTTATGGCTCTGAGGCGTAAAACTGAAAATGGCCTGTTTCCATGATTCTATAACATTATCAAATTGATATTAAAGTATTCTAATAGTGTGGCTTTGGAATCAAAATGGATGAAGATTTCAATTTGAAAGTAATCATAGAATGATGCAGCAGAGATGTAGGTCATTCAGTTTATCATGCCTACCCCAGCTCTAAACTTATTTTCTTCAAGTATTTATCAATTTACTTTCAAAAGTTATTTATTGTATTCAGCCATTGAGACAGCACATTCCAATCATCACACATCACTGCATGAATTTCTCTCTTATGTCGCCTTATGATTCATTTTCCAATCACCTTTAAATGAGTTACCAGATCACCTGGAAAGATGTATGATTTTAACAACATTCATTGGTAAAACTTACAGAAATGCCAATATAGAGACCTTCATCACTGCACTTGAAAATAGTGAACATAAGACAATGAAGAAAGGAAGATGGAATTTCAATAGTGGTTTGAATCAGCAAAACAAACTCAGGACACACATTTTGGGAAAATGCTTCTCATAGAAAAAGAAGCAACACTTCTGGAAATTTATGTTGAATATTAAAACTTAATTCATGTATACTAAAAAGAAATGTTTGTCTTCACGTGTTCATGAAGGTGCTTTGTAACCAATAGAATGACTTTTATATTGCAAGTATCTAATTTGTGTATTGCAAGATCACACAAGCAGCAAATAGAGATATGACTAACCTGCTTTGATAATATTAGCCAATAAATATTGGTCAATAAAATGAGAGATGGGCCTTGCTCTTCTACCGATAGATCATAGGATCTTTTACATTCACCTAATATTAGGCAGAGTTCTAAGTTATCCAAATATATTATTGCTGTACAGACAGAAGGTAAATGCCTAAATTTTATAATCCATTCTTTGAATGGTTAAACCGAACATTTAGAAACGTTCTGATTATTCTAACTGGGTTGCTTAGTTCAGCTCCAAAGGATGTAGCTTCAGCTGAAAAAATAGGAAATTACTAGGTCACAGGTTTCCTAATTTTAAAAAAATTATGTAGAAGCAGGAGATGAAGATGAAAAACAAAACCTTGTGGGTGATGCATAAGGGAGTCAGTAGGAGTTTCCATTACAACAAAGTTCAGTGCTCCAAATGGAAAAGGATTTTTACATGCCAGAATAATTAGCACCACACTGCCACAAGATTGATTCAACAAGTGAAACTACCAGAATATGTTTTTCAGATGAGGAGCAACATATCTGTCTCCTTGCTACATTTTTTTTCAGAAGTTGCAGCATTTTCAGACCAAGTGAATGAAGTTCTAATATCTGGACATATCAACTGTAAATTCCCCATTATGTTGAAGGCATATCTCCTCCCGCTACCGCTAAATGTCTCATTCAGAAAGATTTTATGGTGGGAAACTTTCAGTCGAAACTGGCCTGAATTCTGGATCAAAACGGCAACTGCATGAAGGGAATTACAAGGCCGCAGGATCCATGTGGAGGCTAACATTAAAAAAAACTTAGAGGTTTTGCATAACAGAATTGGCAGGAGACTCCATTTGAATAATGGAGTACTCCTCGTGGAATCAGAAATATGATGGAATACTCTCCACTTGCCTGCGTGAGGGCAGCTCCAACTCAAGAGGCTCAACACCATGCAGAGCAAAGCAGCGCGTGAGTTGTGCTCAATCCACAATCTTAAACAGTCACCTCTCTGCCACCAACACACAGTGACAGTGGTGTGGCAGCAAAACTGCCAAGGCTTCCTGAACAGCAACTTACAGAACCTCAACCTCTACCACCTCGAGATACAAGGACAGCAAACAATTGAAAACATCACCGTCTACAAGTTCCCCTCCAAGTCACATCCTGACTTGAAACTATATTGGTATTTTTTTCACCATTGCTATGTCAAAATCTGGAACACTCTCTCGTACATTGTGATTGCTGCACCTGCACCATATGGATTACAATGTTTTAGGATGGCAGTTCATCAATACCCGCTCAAGGGGCAAACAGGGATAGGTAATTGGTGCTGAGCTGGCAGCAACATCCATACCTGAAGAATTAATTCATAAAGCAGATGTTTAGTAAAATAGTGCAGTACTGCAAAACCCTCCAGTAGAGCAACAGATGTGACCTGGCCTCACGCTAATGTTTGCTGTGCATTCTGTTAAATTTTTAAAGTACTTGTAACATTTGCTGTATCCTGCCTCTCAGCTTCAATTTATATCCTCTTAAGAATAAGTGATTACTTATCATAATTTTCTGCAGCAGAGTATTTTTATAAATATACAACATTCAAGTTCTTAAATAAGGGATGCCTGACAGGCTCCCTCTGTTCTTTTTAAAGATCATCGAGCTGTTTGATCGTTGGCAACGCAGATTAGTCAAAAACTATCATTTGAGCAAATTGTTTACTGTCATTGTATGTTGGTATCCTGGGATATGATGTTACAGCTTGTGTGTGATTTCCTCAGTAATGAGATCCTCAAAATGGCAAGATTACCAGATTTTTATGTGAAAATTGTGTTTAATACCTTAAACTACATGTCCTTATTGATGGAACATACCAGGGAGAAGATCCCTCATTCTGTTCAGCCTGTACTGAGAGGTGACTAAAACACAAGACAGAAATAAACACAGAAACAGCTGGCAATGTGCCCTTAGGCAGATTACGTTTACTGGATGAAAGCAGAGGATAGTTTAAACAGTCTTATACTTGGAACTTTTAAAAAATTGTGTTTGTCTCTGTCTGGATGGGACAAATTTATCACTGAATAGATTAAATCTGAGGAAGAATGTTTGAAATTGAATGTAATTGAAGGTTGAGGTTGAGCTAAGGATTGGACAGTTATGTTTTATTTCTACTTCTTGTCTAATTGTCTTAATCTAGGGGAGAATACATTGGCTTCCAGTTAACACCAACTTCCTTGCAAAACCAGAACTAAATTTCTAAAACTTATTTAATGTTCATACTGAAGTTGATAGGAATCACACCCGTAATGCCTTGAGTAATATTTAATTCGGTGACCCAAAAAAAAACAAGAAGACATCCGTAACTAGGCTGAGTTAGTTGAACTCAGCCATGGGAATGTTAATGCCACTATAATAATAAGCCTCAGTAGTAATAAGAAAAATAACCCAGAGCTCCCACTACTGAGCATTATTAAGCTATTCCCAGGTGGAAAATCATGTATTGTGTGTAAGCTGGGAATAGGTTCCACTTCAGTTTTGTTAGCCACTTATAACATATAAACAATAGCTACTTGAGCAAGTTACCAATAGCATGAAATATGGAATTATGTCACAGTAAAAGGGGCGTGGAATACTAATGTGTTGTCTTGTTATTTTTTAAAAGAAATACTTTGAAAACGAAAGTAATGAAAAGTGACTAACTGCCTTAACTTAATGTTTCATCTCTATTTTTCCCCAAACTGCCAAGTTTCTTTACTGCAAAGGTCTCACGTTGTTATGATAAAATGCTTGAACAACTAAGTAGCACAACAAAAAGTGTTGCTCTTTCCTGTTCGCCAACAAATCCAAAATTGGGAACTGTAAATGTAGAGACTTGAGGTCTTTATTTATGTCCAACAATATTTCACTGCCTTCATTTTTATTTTAATGTAAACTATTCGAGCCTTACCCACTATAGTATATAAGACAGATAAGAGAAAATGCCTATGCTTTTCATGTGTATGCAGGCTGAAAGATTAATGTAGAATTTTCTGTAGAATGTTGGTACATCTACAAAAACTGTGAGAATTTGGGCTGCTGACCATAGTTGTAGAAACAGGATTCCTGTGTTTTTGACTAAAGATGAACCACTAGTATATAAATAGTTCATGATCAAGTCTTGGGAATGTTTGCTTTCTTGTGCGAAACTATCCTTTTTCCCCAGAGCCATGAGAAAGTAAACTGTGACATGTTTGCTAAAAAAATGTGAACGCTAATTCTTCCTGTGCCAAGAACTCCAATCTCACACGCAAATACTGTCTTCTCTTGGACTTTATTTTCATTTATTGTTTCCTATTCTTTACAGTCCAGCAGTTTACCTTTGTTAAATATGCATGTATGTGGATATATGGTGAGAACTGGATTAACTCCTCAGCACGTATATCTTCTTCTTTTCCATCCTAATTAACTGTACCAGCACTACTCACTATTACTTCTCTGTAAACTCCATGTTTTTTACTGCCTTGTGTTCTCTCTTTTCTATTGGACTGGTTTACAATCTCTATCTCAGTTTTACACTGCTATCCTGTTTAATGTGGCACATACCCAAGCCTTTCCTTCAGTGACCACACAACTTTCCCATTTCTATCAACTATCGCTTTTCCCATCTGTCATGCTCCTCTGGAGTTAATGTCATAAGGTCCATCTAACAAATTGTCACCCACCTTCCCTCTATCTCTCCCAGTGAAATGCATGTGATCTTGCTGAGGAGGCTTTTCTCACCCGCGATCCAATCTTGGGGATCACATGAACAGGGGTAGCTGAATTGGTTCTTCAAGCCTGTTCTGTCATTCAATGAGACTACGACTGTGACCTAACTCCATGCACTCACCATGCCCCCATCATTGCTCAGACCA